ATTCCATACTTTCTTAAATGGGACCTCCTGAAACTGAGAAACTTCTGTAAAGCAAAGGACATTGTCATTAAAACAAAAAGGCATCCTACTGAATGGGAGAAGATCTTCATCAACCCTGCATCAGACATAGGTCTGATCTCCAAAATATATAAAGAACTCAAGAAACTGGACATGAAAATTCTAACCCAATTAAAAAATGAGGTACTAAACTGAAAAGAGAATTCTCATCAGACGAAGTTCAAATGGCCAAAAGACATTTAAGGTCTTGTTCAACCTCCTTAGCAATCAGGGAAATGCACACCAAACAACTTTGAGATAACATCTTACACCTGTCAGAATGGCTAAAATCAAAAACACCAATGATAGCCTATGCTGGAGAGGAAGTGGAGTAACAGGTACATTCATCCATTGTTGGTGGGAATGCAAACTTGTAAAACCATTTTGGAAATCAGTGCGGCAGTTTCTCAGGAAATTGGGAATCAATTTACCTCAGAATCCAGCAATACCACTCTTAGGAATATACCCAAGAGATGCCCAAATGCTTTTTTAAAGCATTTGTTCAATTATGTTCATAGCAGCATTATTTGTAATAGCCAGAACCTGGAAACAACCTAGATGCCCCTCAATGGAAGAAAGTGTGGAATATATACACATTAGTGTTTGCTTTTTTTTTCCCCGAGTATATGATCAGTTTTCAAGAAGGATCCATGAGGTGCTGAGAAGAAGATATATTCTTTCCTGCTTGGGTGCAATGTTCTATAGATGTCTGTTAAGTCCATTTGATTCATTATATTTATTAGTTCTCTTATTTCTCTGTTGAGGTTCCGTCTGGTTGACCTGTCCATTGGTGAGAGGGGAGTGTTGAAATCTCCTACTATTAGTGTGTGGGGTTTGATGTGTGATTTGAGTTCTAGTAATGTTTCTTTTACATATGTGGGTGCTTTTATATTAGGGGCATAGATATTCAGGATTGAGACTTCATCTTGATGAATTGTTCCTGTTATGAGTATAAAGTGTCCTTCTCTATCTCTTCTGATTGATTTTAGCTTGACATCAATTTTGTTAGATATTAGGATAGCAAAACCTGCTTGTTTCTTAGGTCCATTTAATTGGAAAACCTTTTCCCAACCCTTTACTCTGAGGTATTGTCTGTCTGTGAGGTTGAGGTGTGTTTCTTGTAAACTCAGAATGTTGGATCCTGTTTTCATATCCATTCTCTTAACCTGTGCATTTTTATAGGTGAATTGAGACCTTTGATATTAAGTGTTATTAATGACCAGTTGTTGTTAACTCTGGTCATTTTTTTGGTGGTAGTGTTTGTGTGTTTCCATTCTTTGAGTTGTGCTGATGGAGGTTTGTCAGATCCTGTGCTATTGTGGCTATTGTTGGATTCCTTGGGTTAATGTTTTCCTTCTAGTACTTTCTGCAAGGCTTGGTTTGTGGATACGTACTGTTCAATTCTGTTTTTATCATTGAATATCTTGTTTTCTCCATCGATAGTGAAAGAAAGCTTTGCTGGGTATAGTAGTCTGTGCTTGCATCCGTGGTCTCTTAGTATCTGCAGCATATCTATCCAAGACCTTCTGGCTTTCATGGTTTCCATTGAGAAGTCAGGTGTAATTCTGATAGGTTTACCTTTATATGTTACTTGACCTTTTTCCTTTTCAGCTCTTAATATTCTTTCTTTTTCTGTATGTTTTGTGTTTTGATTATTATATGACGAGGGGATGGGTTTTTTTTTTGACCTAGTCTATTTGATGATCTATAAGCTTCTTGTACTTTCATAGGAATATCTTTCTTTAGGTTTGGAAAGTTTTCTTCTACAGTTTTGTTGAATACATTTTCTGAGACTTTGAGCTGGAATTCTTCTTCTGCTTCTACCTCTATTATTCCTAGGTTTGATCTTTTCATGGTGTCCCAGATTTCCTGGATGTTTTGTGTTAAGAATTTGTTGGATTTGCTGTTTTCTTTGATCAATGTGTCTATTCCCTCTATATTTTCTTCAGTGCCTGAGATTCTTTCTTCTATTTCCTGCATTCTGTTGGTTATACTTGTCTCTGTAGTTCCTGTTCTTTTAACCAGATTTTCCATACCCAGTCATCCCTAGATTTGTGTTTTCTTTATTACCTCCATTTCAGTCTTTAAGTTTTGAAGTGTTTCCTTTTCCTGTTTTATTGCTTTTCCTTGGTTTTCTTGGGTATCTTTGAAGGATTTATTAATTTCTTCTAACTTTTTGCTTGTCTTCTCTTCCATTTCTTTAAGGGAAGTTTTCACTTCCTGTTTAAGGGTCTCTTCATTTTCATAAGGTTATGTTTAAAGTTGATTTCTTCTACTTTTTGTTTTAGGATGTTCCAGTCTTCCTGTTGCATGTCTGCTGGATTCTGGTGTTATCATGTTGCTTTTCAGGTTGTTGGAGGAATTCTTGCATTGGTGCCTGCCCATCTCTTCAAATGAGGCCAGGAGAGTCTTGGTATCTTGGTCTAATCTTTGCTGTGGCTGACTGTGTACTTGGGAGCTTTTCTTGGTCTGCCTTCTCTTAGGTCCCCTCAGCACTGGAGATGGCTTTCAGATCCCCTCCAGTCTCTGAAGCAGGCTGAGTTGGAGGGATCCAAGACCCCAGCAGATGAAAAGGAGTGCTTGGGGGCAAGATGGGATGGGGTAAAGAAACTGGGAACACCCGCTGGATGGCCAGAAAAGTTTAGAGAATTGGAGGGGGCCTGGACTCTGTTCCCCAGGACCATCTGGCTTGGCAGTCACTCAATCACCATTCCAGATCTCCTCGGCCCAAAACCTTGGTCTTTAAGATTCTATAATGACCTGGATATTAATCCACACACCTAAGAACACCTGATTTTTGACAAAGAAGCTAAAATTATACAATGGAAAAAAGAATATCTTCAACAAATGGTGCTGGCATAACTGGATGCCAACATGTAGAAGAATTAAATTAGATCCATATCTATCCCCACGCACAAAATTCAAGTCCAAGTGGATTAAAGACCTCAATATAAATCTGACCACAGTGAACCTGATAGCAGAGAAAGTGGGTAGTAGTCTTCAATGCATGGATACAGGAGACCACTTCCTAAATATAACCCCAGTAGCACAGACACTGAAAGCAACAATAAATAAATGGAACCTCCTGAAACTGAGAAGCTTCTGTAAAGCAAAGGACACAGTCAATAAAACAAAAAAGCAAGCAAATGAATGAGAAAAGATCTTCACCAGCCCCACATCAGAAAAAGAATTGATCTCCAAAATATATAAAGAACTCAAGCAACTATACATCAAAATTCTAAATAACCCAATTAAAAATGGGTTACAGAACTAAACAGAGAATTTGCAACAGAAAGACTCTCAAATGGCTAAAAGGTACTTAAGGAAATGTTCAATATCCTTAGCCATCAGGGAAATGCAAAGCAAAACAACTCTGAGATATCATGTTACACCTGTCAGAATGACTAAAATCAAAAACACCAACGATAGCTTATGCTGGAGAGGATGTGGAGTTCACTCATCCGTTGCTGGTGGGAATGCAAACTTGTAAAACCACTTTGGAAATCAGTATAGCAGTTTCTCAGAAAATTTGGAATCAACCTACCACAGGATCCAGCAATATCACTCTTGGGCATATACCCAAAAGATGCCCAATCATACTACAAAGGCATTTGTTCAACTATGTTCATAGCAGCATTATTTGTAATAGCCAGAATCTGGAAACAACCTAGATGTCCCTCAACTGAAGAATGGATAAAGAAAATGTGGCACAATTACACATTAGAGTACTATTCAGCTATAAAAAAAAACCAACAATGACATCTTGAATTTTGCATGCAAATTGATGGAATTAGAAAACACTATTCTGAGTGAGGTAACCCAGACTCAAGTAGATGAATATGGTATGTACTCACTCATAAATGGATACTACCTATAAACAAAGGGTATTGAGCCTATAGTTCATGATTCTAAAGAAGCTAAGTAATAAGGTGAACACTAAGAAATACATATATAGATCCATCTGGAAAGTTAAAACAGAAAAAAAATCACTTGATAAAATTAGGAGCATGGGTGTCAGGGGGAGAAGAGATGGTGAAAGGGGAAGAGGATAAGAGAAGGGGAGGGGTGAGGAGAACCTGAGGGAATGGGATGGTCGAGATGGAGGAAGAACAGAGATGAGAGCAAGGAAAGAGATATCTTGATTGAGGGAATCATTATAGGGGTAGCAAGAAACCTGGCTCTAGGGAAAATCCCAGGAATCTACAAGGATGACTCCAGTTAAGACCCTAAGCAATAGAGGAGATGGGGTCTGATCTTGACTTGCCCTATAGTCAGACTAATGAATATCTTAAATATTACCCTATATAGAATCTTCATTCGGCAGCTGATGGAAACAGAGGCAGAGACCCACATCAGAGCACTGGACTGAGCTTCCAAAGTCCCATTGAAGAGTGGGAGGAGTGTGAATATGAGCAAAGAGGTCAAGATCATTATGAGTTCATCCACTGAAACAGTTTGCCTGAGCTAATGGGAGCTCACCAACTCCAGTCAGACTGGGAAGGAACAAGCATAGGACCAAACTAGTCCCTCTGAATGTGGTTGACAGTTGCATGGCTGAGGCATACTGAGGTGCCACTGGCAGTGGCACCAGGATTTATTCCTTCTCCAAGAACTGGCATTTTAGGAACCTATTCTCTTTGGATGGATACCTTGCTCATCCTAGATATAGTAGGGAGGGCCTTGGACCTTCCCTAAAGTAATGTGCCTTACCCTCTATGAGGGTAAGGTATGTGGAGGAAATGGGAGGAATGAAGAGAGTGGGAACTTTGATTGTTATGTATAATGAAAAAGAGCTGAAATTTCCAAAGCAAAGTAATTACCAGCAACCTTAATTTATAATAAACTGCATATTGATTCTCATAACAATGCAGGATGCTTAGTCCCAATACAATAAATTCAATTTTGCTAACTTTTTTTAAAAAAAATCTGTTTTATGTTTCAAGGGCAAGAGCATTAGGAGTCATTGGAATTGCTAATAATGTGGGGGTAGCCCTTACTCCCCTCTTTATGATCCTTGCGATGTACTCTGCCTCCCTACCCTGGATCATCTATGGAGTCTTCTCCTTCCTTGGTGGCCTTGTCCCTCTTCTCCTTCCTGAGACCAAGAATCAGCCTCTGCCTGACTCCATCCAAGATGTAGAAGATGAGTGAGTAATACCTCCACCTCCCATTGAGGGGGACTTGTGTGTCAATGGTCTATGATGTGAAAAGTGAAATAGCATTCAGTCCATCTCTCTCCCAAGCAGTCAGACGTCTAGACTTTTTCCCATTTGGTCATTCAGTTTCTCATAGGAGTCTTCCCTGTATCCATTAAAAATGTAGATACAAATCTTCTTGAATTTCTTTAGAAAAAAGATCAGCTCTACTAGAATGCACCCAGAGACTTCTTGATAAAAGTCAAAAAATTGATCTTCTTCCCACTCTGCCTTCACATAAAACACATGAAGTATATGTGTTAATGTGTAACATATATATGTATGGAGAGGCCAGCAAAGGGCTGTAGATATTCAGTTCATACTTTTCCCATTCTGAGGTTTCTATCAATGAACCTGGAGATGGGATGGAATTTAAAGAGAACCAGTGAGAATTCTGTCTCTTCTTCCCACAATACTGTGATTAGAAGCATTTGTGCCCATGCACAGTTTTTCACACTATTACCTATTATTTGAACCCAGGGCCTTCTTCTGCAGGAAACAATACATTGGGCCTAGCCATTAACCCATGAAACAGCTATTTTTGCCTATATTTCACAAGTATGCACAAATACAAATGGCATTTCATCCTTCAGAATCAGAATAATCTATCAGACCAATGAGTGCTGGTAAGCTGTCTGAAACTGATAGTTTGTGGAGGCTTGGGGGCCCACCATGATCAATGAATAACTTAGAAGAAATAGAACTGGACACAGGTCACAGTGCATCTGAGGGAAGGGCTATTTATTGTCTTTGCTGTGAATTTCACACCATATTGGTTTCATTAAGTATGAAATATTCACAATAGAAAGAATGACAAGATCAATAACGAGATTAAACATAAAAGAATGGGCAGAATTTTAAAACTTTTATGTGTTTCCTGTGCTTTTTTCCTTCAAACCTCCTTGGAGAATATTATGACCATTAAGGTAGTAAGTAACAAAGCTAACTCATAGAACTTACTAGGAAATAATTGTTTTTTATTTCCTGAATTTATTCAAGTCCTTTATAGGACTCTTAGATTTCTACAAAAGCTAAGGGGTAAAGGATAAGATTTCTCTTATGAATTCAGGAGATGCCTTTATTCTCTGTGTCATTTCAGGTCTATCTACATGCTGATGGTATTTGTTGTGTGTGTTCTAGGTGGAAAGGTTCAAGACAAGCAAAGGAGGAAGGTGCCATCATCAAAGTGACATCATTTTAAGGAACTCTGGGAATTGGCCTCTGCTCAAAGAACAGGATAAAGAAAAATGTCACTCAGAATGCAGTGTCCTAGGATCATTCTTAGACATTAGCAAGCTTTTCATTAAACACTGATACAAATATGGATTGTATTTTATACTATATTACTAAATTATCATTTTAAAAACACCTATTATTATTCACAGTAAGCAATGTGAAGGTGCCACACAAATGCCTGCCCTGGTTCCATGTGTTGGGGCAGTAGTTGCCACTACAATGAACAAACATATAATGGGAACTTGGGAAAGATAGAGTACTTGGTGCAAAAATGGGAGAGAAAGAGAAGTGCAGCAGTTCATATGCTATGGATGGAAGTGGAATTGGTGATTTAATGGCTGTGAAGAAGAGGCAGATATGAGGAGCCTTTTGCTGCAACCTGAAGCCAAGTTAAAGCTTTGGTGCCTTGCTGTCACTGGGGTCATACTAATTTAAATAGCCTGTGATGCCATCTAAGACCATGGGGATGTCTAGGTTCTCATGGCCACCAAAGATCATGCCCTGGTCCATGGCTCTGTCAGAGCCGAGATCTGAGTTGATGTCCATGGCCCATGTGCTCACCAAGGGCCACAAATATTATCTATGGTCTGTGCTGTTGTTTTAGGCAGTTCAGTTATCTGGGAGCCATGATACCAATGAGAACCAAATTGACTTGAGTATCCTGTACTACCACCTGTGATCATGGTGATAGTCTGATCCAGGTTGATGCTGAAGGCTATATCTGGGTCCATGGACCTATTGTAGCCATGGTCTGTGTTAAGGAACATGGTCTGAGGTACCACAAAAGGCCTTACAGTTGTCCATTGTCTGTCCTATCACCTGAAACCATGGTTACATCCAGGTCCATGTTGTTACTCAGCTCCATATTTAGGTCTGTGGTCCTACTGTTTCTGGTGACTATATTGATTACTGAGTCCTGGGTTGCATTGAGGGCCACTCAGATGTCTATGGTCCAGGCTGCCTTGAGGATGTCTGGGCCTAAGGTACCACCGAGGGTCGTGGGTTCATAGTCTTACCTCAGCCGGAGTCTGTGTTTATGTCTATGATATGTCTTACACCAACGGCCAACTTTACATTCACCATCCGTGCTGCCACCTGAAGCCATGCTGATATCCCAGCACCATATTAGGGGACTCCACTTCCATTTGCTGCAAGAATACTAGTCCCACACCTCACCAGCTTCACTACTCAAGTCCAAATGGATTAAGGACCTCAATATAAAACTGGTTACATTGAACCTGGTAGAAGAGAAAGTGGTAAGTAGTCTTCAATGCATGGACACAGGAGACTGCTTCCTAAATATAACCCCAGTAACACAGACACTGTGAACAACAGTAAATAAATGGGACCTCCTGAAACTGAGAAGCTTCTGTAAAGCAAAGGACACAGACAAAAAGACAAAAAGCAGCCTACTGAATAGTGAAAGCTCTTCACCATTCCCACTTCAGACAAAGGACTTGAATAACCAAATATAGTTGAAGCAGAAGAAAATGACTTAAAAATAACTTTAGGAGAATGTTTGAGGCCCTTAAAGAGGAGATGAATAATCTCCTTAAAGAAATGGAGGAAAAGACAAATAAATTGGAATAAAAAATTACTTAAAGAAAATGAAGAAAAAGCAATCAAACATATAAAATAAGCTATTCAAAACCTGAAAACTGAAATAGAGACAATAAAAAACTGAGGAAAATATAGAAATAGAAACTATGAGAAAACAATCAGAAACCACAAATGGAAGCATAAACAGCAGAATACAAAAGATGGAAGACAGAATCTCAAGGACTGATGATATAATAGATGAAACAGACTCTGGTGTGGAAGGTCCTTCTGTCTGTGTGTTGCTTTTCTTAGTTAATGAATAAAGAAGCTGCTTTGGCCTGTTGATAGGACAGAACGTAGGTAGGCAAGGAGAACTGAACTGAATACTGGGAGAAAGAAGGGTGGAATCAAAGGGACACCATGGATCTGCTGTCAGAGATAGGCGTGCTGGAACTTTGCTGGTAGGCTACAACCTCATGGTGATACACAGATTAATAGAGGTGGGTTAAACTAAGAATTTAGAACTAATAGGCCAAGCAGTAATTTAATGAAAACAGTTTCTGTGTGATTATTTTGGTTCTGGGTAACTGGGACAAACAAGCAGACCCTCCTCCAACAAGACTCATTGGTCAAAGAAAACATTAAATCTAGTAAAAACTTAACACAAAACATCCAAGAAATATGGGACACTGGGGATAGAAGAAGGAGAAGAAGTCCAACTCAAAAGCACAGAAAGTATATTTAACAATATTATAGAAGAAAACTTTCCCAACCAAAAGAACGATATGCCTATGGAAACACAAGAAACTTACAGAACACCAAATAGACTGGATAAAAAAAGTACCCTAGACACATAATAGGACTATTAAGAACTGTAAAGGAAAAAGTTCAAGTAACATATAGAGGCAGAACTATCAGAGTTATTCCTGATTTCTCAATGGAAACAATGAAAGCCAGAAAGACCAGGCCAAGTGTTATGCCAACACTAAGAGACCAGAGATGCCAGCCTAGAATACTATACTCAGCAAAACTTTCAATCACTATGAATGGACAAAACAAGATATTCGGTGACAGAACCAGATTCAACCAATAAGTAGCCACAAACCCATCCCTACACAAAATACTAGAAGGAAAACTCCAACTCAAGGAAGTAGGCAACATCAACAAAACCAAAGAAAATCGAATATCTCACAGCAACAAATCCCAAAGAAGAGAAAAATACACACAATAACATCATCAACAATGAAAACTAAAATAACAATCTGGCAATCACTGGTTATTAATATCCCTTAATATAAATGGACTCAACTCACCTATAAAAAGACACAAGTTAGCAGATTGGATATGAAAACAGAATCCATCATTCTGCTGCATGCAATAAACATACCTCAACCTCAAAGAAAAATATCACCTCAGAGTAAAGGGTTGGGAAAAATTTTCCAATTCAATGGACCTAAGAAACAAGCTATCCTAATATCTAACAAAATAGGCTTCAAACTAAAATCAATCAAAAGAGACAAAAAAGGGACATTTCATATTAGACACAGGAAAAATTCGTCAAGAGGAATTCTCAAGACTGAACATCTATGCCTTGAATGTAAGGCACCCTCATATGTAAAAGAAACACTTCTATAGCTTCAATCACACATTAAACCCCACACATGAATAGTGGAAGACTTCAACATGGCACTCTTACCACTGGACAGGTTGGTCAGAGAGAAAATTAACAAGGAAATAAGGAAATTAACAGATGTTATGACTCAAATGGACTTAGCAGACATCTATAGAACATTCCATGCAAACATAAAAGAACATACATTTTTCTCAGCACCTCATGGAACAGTCTCAAAAACTGACCACATACTAGGTAAAGAAGCAAACCTCCACAGATACCAAAAACAAAAAACAAAACAAAACAAAAATAAAAACAAAACTGGATTAACCCCATGTATCTTATTGGATCACCTTGTCTTAAATTAGAATTCAACAGCAACACCAATTCCAGAAAGGCCACAAACACATGGAGATTAAACAGTCCTTACCTGAATCATCAATGGATCAAGGAAGAAATAAAGAAAGAAATTAAAGTCTTCCGAAAATTCAATGAAAATGAGCACACAACATACCCAAATTTATGGGAAACAATGAAAGCAGTGTTAAGAGAAAAGTTCATAGCATTAAATTCCTACATAAAGAAGCTGAAAAATCCCACACCAGTGAGTTAACAGATCATTTGAAAACTAGAACAAAAAGAACAAACTCACCCAGGAGAAATAGATGACAGGAAATAATCAAACTGAGAGCTGAAATCAACAAAATAGAAACAAAGAAAACAATACAAAGAATCAAAGAATCAATGAGACAAAAGAGTTTGTTCTTTGAGAAAATCAACAAAATAGACAAACCTCTATATCAACTATTCTAAAGGCAGGGAGAAAATATTCAAATTCACAAAATCAGAAATGAAAAAGGGGATATAACAACAGACACAGAGGAAATTCAGAGAATTATTAAGTCATATTTTAAAAACCTGTACTCCATAAAATTGGAAAACTTAAAGGAAATGAACAACTTTCTGGATAAATATCACTTACCAAAATTAAATCAAGAGTCTCCCAACCAAAAAAAAAAGAATTCTACAAGATTTTCAAAGAAGAACTAATCCCAATACTCCTCAAATTGTTCCACACAATGGAAACAGAAGGAACATTGCCAAACTATTTTTATGAAGCTACAATTACTCTGAAACCCAAACCACATAAAGACACTATCAAGAAACAGAATTACAGACCAATCTCACTTATGAACATTGATGCAAAAATAGTCAATAAAATATCAGCAAATCGAATCCAGGAAGACTTCAGAAAAATCATCCACCATGATCAAGTCGTCTTCATCCCAGAGATGTGGGGATGGTTCAATATACAAAAATCTGCCAATGTAACCTACCATATAAACAAACTGAAAAATAAAAACCACATGATCATCTCATTAGATGTTTGAAAAGCCTTTGACAAAATACAACATCCCTTCATGATAAAGGTCTTGGAGAGAGCAGGGATACAAGGAACATACCTAAACATAATAAAGGCAATATACAACAGGCCAACAGCTAACATCAAACTAAATGGAGAGAAACTCACAGCGATTCCATTGAAATCAGGAACAAGACAAGATTCTCCATGTTCTCCATATCTATGCAATATAGTTCTTGAGGTCCTAGCTAGAGCAATAAGACACCAAAAGGAGATCAAGGGGATATAAATCAGAAAAGAAGTCAAACTCTCACTATTTGCTGATGATATGATAGTTTACATAAGCAGCCCCATAAATTCTACTCTCTTTGAGGATCTTCTACAACTCATAAATACTTTTGGTAATGTAGAAGGATACAAGATTAACTAAAAAAAAATCAGTAGCCCTCCATTACACAAATAACAAATGGACTGAGTGAAATCAGAGAAACATCACCCTTCATAATAGCTACAAATAGCATAACATATCTCGGAGTAACTCTAACCAAACAAGTGGAAAACCTGTATGACAAGCAA